AATACATTCCACGCCACGCTCAGAATCTAATAACTATTGGTATGACATAATAAACAAATTTAAATATATTATACATCATAAACTGATTTAAATATTAATTTTCCAAAATGCAAAACTCGATATATAAATTTATGTTTGTATTGTGTAGTCATTATTATCAGTAATTTAGTAGGTTGGCGTAGTCATAATTGTAGTGGCGTTTCTAGCGTCCATTCGGGGTGGGCAGCTTCTCGTACCAACATTTTTGATGTTAATGTGTTAAAAATTCAATCGCCTCCTCCCTGGATCCACTAGTGATGCCTATACGCAATTAGAGTCCTGTAGCCGCCCCTGCAGGTATTATAATATAATGAATTTATAATGAATTTTTCTTATAAAGTAGTCTGTTAAATAATTCGTTTATTATGGAACGTAATATCGTTATTTCTCGAACTTTATCGCATTTTAAGTTTAGATACAGATACTCATCTAATATTCGCTCCATTAAGTCAGTTTCTGATTTCAGATCACTTAAAACCGTTAGACAATAACAGCTCGTGCTCGGCGATAGGTATAAGTATTATTACTTTTTTTTTTAAATTTAGATCAACGACCCAAGATGAGATGGTTCATGTCAAATCGATTATAGACATACGACAACCTAACAAAATTAGAGATCTATTGTTATAGGTACCTATTGAAATAATAATTCCATTTTATTACATCCGGTGTAATAACCAGGGTAACACCTACACTGAAGTCGAAAAAACAGGATGTATTTCTTTTTCTCCCAAATTTAACATAGTTCATATTATTTTAGCTCACGTATCGTGTAAACGCATATACGGCTACAGAACAAAAGATCACGATATTTAAACGTGAGACTCGTAATAGCATAAAATTGCCATAATTTTAGACGATAATATTAAGCTATACATTATTATATTGAAACGGTTATTTGAATTTTAAACAGAATTAAGACGAAGACATGTGTGATATTAATTTAATTCCAATCGGCCATAATTAAACGAATAGGTAATATTAAAACAAGTATTGTTTTTATTTCAATTGTTCAGTAAATAGTATTCGTGTAATGTATTGTTGACGTAGAGTTTGAAAAGTGTCTATAGGATTTAGAGTTATTTAATTTATTTTATGAAAACTACAAAAAAAAAAAAAAACGATTCTGAACGGATTAGTACCGATTAGTAGTATTGGACGTGTTTTTCCCCCCTTGTATAGCCAAGCAACCCAGAAATCATCAAAAATATAACCGATATATGATGGTCGTGAAGATGGCCCATCCACTTTCTCTCAAATCAATCTAACCTATATCAACATTTAGCAAATAATTAGCAAGAATTAGCAAGATGGGTTTTAAAATTTGTAAGCTATTATTTTCATGTACGAAAAAAAAGTAAAGTAAATCGGGCCAGTTTCACGTAGCCCACCATATTTCACCCACACGTTTAAAAATGGTATCGTTTGATTCTGTATAATAAGCTAGTATTAATAAGTCCACAAAAAAAATTTGAAAGTCCACTCTACAACTTGTGCGAATTATGCTTAGAATTTAAAATGGCAAATATTAAATTAATATATTAATATAATAATATTATATCAATATATAATATTATAGGTATTAACCTGACATACCTGGACAGTACTCCAGTAGGTATGTCCTGTAAATAATATTTTTTAATTACTAATAAAAATCAATTTTTTTATTAATATGAATAATTAATTGTGTAGATAAGATATTCGATTTAAACTTTATTTTAGTTTGTGAGCAAAGCAAGGAATGTATTGGTTATACAATATTTAATTTTTTCTGTGAACAAATTTTCTACCAGAAATTTCGCTCCAATTTAGAAGTATAGGACTTTAAATTACAGAAAATCTGACTTGAGAGACAATTTAAGGAGATCATTTTTTTAATCTTCTTAAGAGTTTCAAAACATATATAATCAAACTCCGCTCATAATCGTTTTTCGTTAGCAATGATTAGACGTTGCATACAGTACTAGAGTTATACATTGAATTTCCCCTCTACCTTCTCAATTTCTAACCTAAAACAGTAGCCCACTCATAGTGTTAAGTATGTCCGTTTGTTTTTTTCTTATAGTGGTCCTGAAAATACTTGCTAATTATAAGGAGACAAATGATACCAGTTTCGAACGTGTGGGTGAAAAAGGTTGGGGTGCGTGAAGTTGCCACCTTTCATTATTTTTTTTCTGTAGATGAAAATAATGACTTGCACAATTTAAAACCAAACTTGCTTAGTACTGTTAATTATTTGCTAAATATAGATATAGGTAAAATTGATTTAAGATAAAGATATAGATGATCTTTACATCGATTAATACACGGACATATTTTGTTGTCGATTTTTTTAAATTTCATGGAAAAACAGTTGGAACTCTAGAGATTATTTCGATTAAATTACCATCGGATAAAAACTTATCTTCTTTAAAAGGTACAATACGAATACTTTGGAGCGTTTTTTTAAAGTAATTCAAATAATTTAACCAAAAAAAAAAAAATTAATACAAAGACTTAAGGGCCAAAGGGTAAACTATTGAAAATATTAAAAACTTTTCGAGTAATGTGGTAAAAGATTATACAGTGCAATCAAATTAACAAAAATAATAAATTACAAATTATTATTTCAGAGTTTTAGTAATTATTTATTTAAAAGAAGTATTCGCCCTCTTCTTTAAAAATTGAAGAGGAACGTCCTCTTTAAAAAATTATAATACACACCAGAAAAGTATGCCATCGGTTGTGGGGTTGTGTCCCTTAAGTGGCATATTTCACACAGCCTCTATTATAACAGTAGTTAAACGTAGAAAAGTAAAATCACCAGGCTCATTATTGCGCTCAGAATTAAATGTTTTAAAAATTATTAATAACTATAGATATATCTACAAGTCGATTTCCAATCACGAATACGTAGTTTTTTTATCGAACTTCAATATTATTAAAGTATTTTTCCAAAACGACTTATCATTTTAGTAATAGTTTGAAGTAACTATGCGCGTAAAAAACATAGGAAAATTGGAAAATTGAAAAAATATTAACAAATATTACTAAAGAAAATATACAAAACATAATATGCAATTATTTTACCATACTATGACAAATATATTGTCGACAAAGCAACAGTATTAACCAAACTCTGCTTACAATCATTTTTCGTTATCAATGGTTAATCATTGCATACAGATATATATTTATTTCCCCTCTAGAGCTAATTTAAAATCCAGAGTTGAATATGGTCCTCACGATTCATAGCCAAATTTGTTCTTCAAGTACAATTTCAATTCAGTATTTCCAGTATTAGTTAAAGATTTCTCCATTGAACCGAGGAACTTTATATTAATCTTCTTCAATGTTAATAAAAAATAAAACAGTTACCGATTGGTAAAAAAAATTGATAGTAGGTAATTCGTGCACGCGATGCATGGTGAATAATTAGGAAAAATAACTAAATAATACAATAATAAGAAAAACAACTTATTAGGTTATAAAAAATAATTAAATAAATAGTACAAAAATTCACACATTCTTCGTACAAAACATGACGTATATACAATATGTCTAGAATCAAAGTATATGTTGATTAATAAAGAAATGACGATAATGTTGTAAACATGTTATACTATGAGATACGTGAAACAAAAAGAAGCGGTACGCATATTGTAATGAGCCGGCAATTTGCCGTCGTTTTGTTTAAAATTTAACATATTTTTTTAATATAAAACAATTTTCTTTATTTTACAAATATTAAATATTAGTTTACATATAATAAGTTTATTTTAAGTAGGTTTGGTATATGTGCGGAATACAAGATTTTTTAAATGGTGAACGCGTAGAGTGTTACAATTAAACCGTGCAACATGATATAACAAAAAAAAATGAAAACTTAATACAAGAGTGTTAGTATTAATATGATTACAAACAAGAATAACAAGAAGTGTTTGGTAAATGGAATAGCCAAACACGTCTGGTCGGATGATTAAGTACGGAACGTAGGAGTGTAAGTTTAAATATGGTTGATTTTTGAATGGTTTAAGATGTACTGATTACCGGTAATGGCGAATCTCGTTACCGATATATCGGGGATTGCTCACCTTATAGCGTAAGGAATATCACGTCGGAGACGTTTAACACTTCAAGGGGATTGCTCACCTTATAGCGTAAGGAATATCACGTCGGAGACGTTTAACACTTCAATTATCGTTTAACACTTCAATTATGCGTTTGAATCGCCACTTGAATTGGGGTACCGAGTTGGCCTGGATCGTGACCGCTTCATTGAATTGAACGTTGGAGTTTCGGGAAAACCGGGAGTAGCTTAGTAATTAATAAAACACGACAGAAGACCGTACAATAACAGAATAATTTTAATTTTATACATACATTTATTTTAAAAATAATAGAGATTAATATTATCAACAGAGATAATGCACAATTTAAATATTGTATACATAGATAACACATGTTTCGTTTATTAAGTATATTTATTTTATTTGCACCTTTTACAGACATTTCATTTGAAAAATAACAAGGATGTATAAAATGTACAAAATGTAAACAGAGATTACAAACAATTAAAGAAAACCGGGAGTAGCTTAGTAACTAATGAGACACGACAGAAGACCGAATAATAACAGAATAATTTTAATTTTATACATACATTTCTTTTGAAGAATAACAAGGATTTATAATATAATGGTGTCCGTGACATTCGCTTGACTCGAATAAAAAAAGACATCGATAAGTTCAACGAATTTTTTAAACCATGTTTAGCACGAAAACAAAGTGGACTACTGGCTTATGATAAGGAAGAAGTTTATCGTTGATGTTGACCAATTATTCACTAAGCTACTTCCGGTTGTCCCAATCCTCCAACGATTAACCCAATGACGTGATCACGATCCAGGTCAGCTCGGTACCCAAATTTATGTGGCGATTCAGACACCAAACTGAAATATTACACGTCTCCGACGTAATATTTCTTACGCTATAAGGTGAGCAATGTTCTCTTGAGCGTTATTTAAAGAAGCAGGATCTGCGAAGGTTGTGATTTCGTTGGCGGTTTTAGGTTCTATGTTCTCGGAAACGGTTTTTTCAGAGGCGGTTTCGTGTTCTATAACACTACCGGTAGCGGTGTTTTCAGCGGCGGTTTCTGTGATGGAAGTATTTTCTTTGACGGTAGCGGTTTCTATAACATTACCGGTTGCGATATTTGCAGAGGTGGGCTCCGTGATGGACTCGAATTCAAAGGCGGTATCTGGTTGTTTTATGTGCGTAATTTCGGTAGATATTACCGTATCTTTTGTGACCTCGGCGGCGTGGCCGAAGTCTGAATCCATGAAAACGGAAATCGAGTAATCCGGTTTTTTAAGGATGGACGTGTTGACCGATTTTTCGGCGCCAGTGATAGCCTGGCTGTCACCACCACCGAATGTTGTTAGTGGCGTCTGGTTGTAGGTGACTGGTCCTTCGGGTCGNCGAAGTCTAAATCCATGATAGCGGAAATCGAGTAATCCGGTTTTTTAAGTATGGACGTGATGACTGATTTTTCGGCGCCAGTGATAGCCTGGCTGTCACCACCACCGAATATTGTTAGTGGCGTCTGGTGGTAGGTGACTGGTCCTTCGGGAATATATTGTGTTAAGGACACCACAATGGCGTAACCCAACATCCTTTCTGGACGGTGCTCCAAGAGGAGATTTTGCGTAAACCGCTCGCCGGTCACCATAACCATCACGCCACCGGACGATCCGCCACAGGACATCGGAATAATCGATTTAACTAAATAGCGGCACGCGGACATAGGTCGCATCAAAATGTGCTTTACCTGTAACCGGGTCCTGACGACGATGGCCGACCCGTCTTCAAACACCGTTTGGAACTCGCCGCGTTCGTCGTAAAATTCATTTGCGTACTCTGGTGAAGTACGCATCATGGAATAATACAATTCTGCGAATTTGCAGCCGATATCAGCCGCGTACTTAGTTCTCGGCAACGAGTTTAACTTAGCCATCGCAACGGCTCTGCTCTCGCGTGTCAAATCTTCAACACCACTGCTATTTTCCATTTCGAATGCAAATACAAATAACAAGCGAATGCGAAAGAAATTGAAACTTTTAGAAATAATTAATTATTTTTTCAGTCTCGCAATAGTGCTTGTGAGTGCAATAGTGAGTAATATTATTTGGTTTGCGCGAATACTACAAAACTATTACAACACGGTTGTTGTTGATTGGTAACGAAAATATTAAGAGCAGTTTTCTTTTGTGTTTTGGCCACGTATATAAAGGGCACGTAGTCTTTTCGGCTTGAAATTACATTGAGTGGTAATTTGCAGGCCTTAAGAAACATCCGATTTCAGGGGACACACTTTTTAATTGAAATGTTATCTTTAACAACTCCTAAACAAAACAAAAAACCTGATGGGGGGAGAGCTAAGAATTTTGGTAACATTATAATAATATCTGTTTTGTAATGTTTTTTCATTAAGTTATAAGTGAAGGTATCGTTGTATTACTATATATACACGGACCTGTAAGTCTGCTACAATTCATTCAAACGTGTACAAGTTTGTTACACCTTTTGAAAAACTAATCTTATTGTANAACAAAACAAAAATCCTGATGCAGGGAGAGCTAAGAATTATGGTAACATTATAATAATATCTGTTTTGTAATGTTTTTTCATTAGGTGATAACTGAAGGTATCGTTGTATTACGATATATACACAGACCTGTAAGTCTGCTACATTTCATTCAAACGTGTACAAGTTTGTTACACCTTTTGAAAAACTAATCTTATTGTAAAAATTAATTTTTAATTTATATTTATCTAATGGAAAATTATCTCTTTGTCTTTTAACTCTCTTCGTTTCTTTTTTATTACTTTTTGATGATATTAGTGGAACCTGTTTACAAATATAAAAAATACAGTTCTCATGAGATTTCGGTGTAAATCACGGTACTTAAAGTTTATAACTTATAGTTTATTGCCACACACTGAGCTACTCTGAGGATACTGCGAAGCAACGAAATCTTTTTAGTCTACCTTGTTATAGCCGAGTAGTTTCCGAATAGTTTCGTCGAGTGAAAATTCGTTGGGTGATGATGATAATATAGTTTTTAGTTGTTTCCTATTAATATTTACAAATTAAATGAAAAGAATGTGGTGTTAAGGTTTCCGCACACTAGATCGGAACGAAACGAAACAGTCTGATCGGATCAGAACAGAAAAATTTAAATAAAAATAAGGTCCCGAAAACTGGATCGGACCGAAATGGAACGGAATTGTTTGTAGACAATATTTTAACGGATTCCGAAGCATTCCGATCGCAACCGCATGCGCACTGACACAAATATACTTACTTTATTTGGTTATAATCGTTTTGTACATAGTAGTTGCGTACACAATTAAAAGTCTAAAACAATAAATCTTTTTTATTATAAACATTTTAATATTTTTTCGATAAAAGAATCTTGACACGAACAATAAAAATATATCAGAAGAAAAAAGTATTTGTGAAGTGCAGAAATATTCATTTACATAATTATAAAAATTAATTTTTTAGTAAATCTTATACAAAAATTACTCGTTACATTAATATTACAGTTTTTCACGTGCATATTTTATTTTTTTAATTGAATAGTAATAAATTAAAATAAAAAAAATATCCTTAAATTCAAATTAAAAATATTTATTATTAAATTATAATCAATTAAACATTATCTTCAGAAACACTGACCCCACCATTATTGCTAACAGTTCGTTTGCTGGTATACATTTTCGAAAGTTTGTGCTTGTTTTTTGTAAATCGGGTTTTATATGCTCTAAAAATTGACAACATTTTTTGTAATTCGTCCGAAAATATTAAAAACAATTTTTATTGTCCTGTTTTAAATGCGGGAATAGCGTACAGAACTCTCCTTCTTTTTTCCTTGCCATATGCATGCTACGATCCCACTGNTACATTACGACCCCCGGTCGGTCGTGTTATATTTAAATTTTGCATAACGTGTGTACGTGAGTGTGAGTAAAAAAAAAAAGTGCACCATTCGTACACTTCTTTAATTTATATCTGCTTTTATACGCAAAGATAAATCGTTTATAACCAGTGACACAATTAGAGGGAGTTTGGGAGCCATAGGCCCCTTATTATTTTTTTTTATTTTTTCAGCCTCGCAATAGTGTTTGTTAATAGTGAGTTATATAATTTGGTTGGCGCAGATAATATAAAACTATAACAACACGGTTATTGATGGGTAGAAACGAAAATAATATTAGCAGTTTTTTATTTTTGTTCTGACCACGTATTTAAAGGGAACGAATAATAAAAATATATCAGATGAAAAAAGTATTTGTGAAGTGCAGAAATATTCATTTACATAATTATAAAAATTAATTTTTTAGTAAATCTTATACAAAAATTACTCGTTACATTAATATTACAGTTTTTCACATACATATTTTATTTTTGAAATTAAATAGTAATAAATTAAAATAAAAAAAAATATCCTTAAATTCAAATTAAAAATATTTATTATTCAATTATAATCAATTAAACATTATCTTTAGAAATACTGACCCCAGCATTATTGCAAACAGTTCGTTTGCTGGTATACATTTTCGAAAGATTGTGTTTGTTTTTTTGTCAATCGGGTTTTATATGCTCTAACAATTGACAACATTTTTTGAAATTCATCCGAAAATATTAAAAACAATTTTTATTGTCCTGTTTTAAATGCGGGAATAGCGTACAGAACTCTCCTTCTTTTTTCCTTGCCATATGCATGCTACGAACCCACTGTCTTTTTATTGTATATATTTCTTTTTCTTCAGCTTCCGACAAAAGAGCTAGGATGAGTATCGTGTCTTCTTCGTCACTACTTATATCATTTATTATATTATATCAGGGGTTGGCAACTTGATACGTGAAACAAAAAGAAGCGGTACACATATTGTAACGAGCCGGCGATTTGCCGTCGTTGCATAAAATTTAACACATTTTTTTAATATAAAAAAATTTTCTTTATTTTACAAATATTAAATATTAGTTTAAATATAATAGTTTATTTTAAGTAGGTTTGGTATATGTGCGGAATACAAGAGTTTTTAAATGGTGAACGCGTAGAGTGTTACAATTAAACCGTGCAACATGATATAACAAAAAAAAATGAAAACCTAATACAAGAGTATTAGTAGTAATATAATTACAAACAAGAATAACAAGAAGTGCTTGGTAAATGGAATAGCCAAACACGTCTGGTCGGATGATTAAGTACGGAACGTAGGAGTGTAAGTTTAAATATGGTTGATTTTTGGATGGTTTAAGATGTAATGATTACCGGTAATGGCGAATCTCGTTGCCGATATATCGGGAATAGCGTAAGGAATATCACGTCGGAGACGTGTAACACTTTAATTATGCGTCTGAATCGCCACTTGAATTGGGGTACCGAGCTGGCCTGGATCGTGACCACTTCTCGAATTGAACGTTGGAGTTTCGGGAGAACCGGGAGTAGCTTAGTAATTAATGAGACACGACAGAAGACCGAACAATAACAGAATAATTTTAATTTTATACATACATTTATTTTAAAAATAATAGAGATTAATAATATCAACAGAGAGATAAAGCCCAATTTAAAATTTGTATACTTAAGTAATACATGTTTCGTTTATTAATAATTTATTTAGTTTTAATTTTATTTATACATTTATTTTAAAAATAATAGGCATTAATAATATCAGCAGGGATAATGCACAATTTAAAATTTGTAATGTTATGAAACCAACTACACCTAAGCCTCGGACAGGATTACATGGATTCAAGACTTGTTTTTGGATTGCGACACGGAATCTGAAAAGTTTGTATAAAACAGGTGCAAGTCAAAATTTAGTCGATGTCCTTAACACCTACAACATTAAAGTAGCGGCCATACAAGAAATAAGATGGTTGGGAGTAGGACAACTAACGATAGGAGAGTACGCAATTTTCTTCTCAGGAATGGAGAACACGCATCACTTCGGTAGCGGTTTTGCAGTTCATAGGATATTTGAATCGTGCATTAAAAAATTTAATCCAGTATCCGAACGGCTATCGACATTAACCATCAACACTAGCCCAATTAATATTTGTTTAATAAATGGTCATGCACCAACAGAAGTAAAAGATGACAATGCGAAAGACATCTTCTACGACGAACTGACTAAAACATATGAGAGTATCACTGGGAACGTGATAAAGATTGTATTAGGTGACTTCAATACAAAATGTGGACGGGAACCACAGTACTTCCCTTGTATAGGGAAGGAAAGTTTGCATAGTAACAGCAACGACAATGGTCAACGATTGATAGCGTTTGCAATATCAAATGGGTTGACTGTTAGTAGTACCACGTTCCCACATAAAAATATTCATAAAGTCACGTGGAGATCACCGGATGCCAAAACCCTGAACCAAATAGATCACGTCCTCATACAAACTAGATATCGTAGTACCATTCACGACGTAAGAAGTCATAGAGGCGCCGATTGTGACACGGATCACTACTTGGTGATCGCCAAACTTAGATCAAAGCTAAAAAGCCAATCGAGATTAAAACAAGGCAAAAGAGCTAAATTGAACCTAGAGTTACTTAAAGATGAAACCGTCAGAAAAAACTATGAGAACGAAATCATGAAGAATATTAAAGAGAATAATGTACTAATGGACGTAGACCTGGANAGGGAAGGAAAGTTTGCATAGTAACAGCAACGACAATGGTCAACGATTGATAGCGTTTGCAATATCAAATGGGTTGACTGTTAGTAGTACCACGTTCCCACATAAAAATATTCATAAAGTCACGTGGAGATCACCGGATGCCAAAACCCTGAACCAAATAGATCACGTCCTCATACAAACTAGATATCGTAGTACCATTCACGACGTAAGAAGTCATAGAGGCGCCGATTGTGACACGGATCACTACTTGGTGATCGCCAAACTTAGATCAAAGCTAAAAAGCCAATCGAGATTAAAACAAGGCAAAAGAGCTAAATTGAACCTAGAGTTACTTAAAGATGAAAACGTCAGAAAAAACTATGAAAACGAAGTCATGAAGAATCTTAAAGAGAATAATGTACAAATGGACGTAGACCTGGATTGGGAAAAAGTGAGTAATGCTGTCAAAAAAGCAGCGGCCACTAGCATTGGTGAGCTAAAGAGGTCAAAAAATACATTGTATAATGATGTATGTAGAATTGCTGTAGACAAACGCCGTAAAGCGAGAGATGACTTTATTAAGCACAACTCTCAAATAACTAAAGAAGTTTTCATCCGAGAACGTAAAATCTGCAAAGACACCCTTCAAAGGGAAAAAAGAAAATTCTTTAGCAACATACTTCAAATCGCAGAGAAGGACCATACACAAGGGAGAACTAGAAGTTTTTTTAGAGTCGTTAAACAGTATAAGCAATTCAACCCTATATGGATTGCAATCAGAGACCAAGACGGACAAATGTTAATGGAGCCAGAGTCAAGAGCTGAGAGGTGAAAAGGATATTTTGAAGAACTACTAAATGGTAGCATGCCAGCCCAGCCCGTATCACATACCGAAAATGAAAGAGCGGAGCCTTACGTAGAAGATATTAGTCTAGAAGAAGTAACAATTGCAATAAGTGGCCTAAAGAATTGGAAAGCACCAGGTACCGATGATATTCCAACAGAACTCATAAAATATGGAGGTAAGGAGTTACATGTAGTAATCCACAGACTGTGCCAGTTAATATGGATGAAAGAACGGCTACCGGATAGCTGGAATTTAAACCTACACTCCTGCGTTCCGTAACTAATCGTCCGATCAGATATGTAGTGCCATAACATTTACCGAACCCCTCTTTTTTTGGTTTAAATGCAACGCATTTATTTCAGGTATTTATACGCAGCCCAACAGACAGCAGAAAAGAGAACTAAACTAATTACTTTTTTTACGATTTTCTTGTTGTCAGTGCCGGATTTGAGTTCTATGTTCTCTTGAGCGTTATTTGAAGAAGCAGGATCTGCGAAGGTTTTGATTTCGTTGGCGGTTTTAGTTTCTATGTTCTCGTATACGGTTTCTTCAAAGGCGTGTTCCGGGATGGATGTATCTTCAATGATGGTGGCGGTTTCTATAATATTACCGTTAGCGGTTTTTTCAGAGGCGTGTTCCGGGACGGAAATATCTTCGGTGACGGTTGCGGTTTCTATAATATTACCGTTAACGGTTTTTTCAGAGGCGTGTTCCGGGACGGAAATATCTTCGGTGACGGTTGCGGTTTCTATAATATTACTGTTAACGGTTTTTATAGAGGCGTGTTCCGGGACGGAAATATCTTCAGTAACGGTGGCAGTTTCTATAATATTACCGTTAGCAGTTTTTTCAGAGGCGTGTTCCGGGATGGAAGTATCTTCAGTAACGGTGACGGTTTCTATAATATTACCGTTAGCAGTTTTTTCAGAGGCGTGTTCCGGGATAGAAGTATCTTCAGTGACGGTGGCGGTTTCTATAAATTTACTGGTAGCGGTTTTTTCAGAGGCATGTTCCGGGATGAAAGTATCTTCAGTGAAGGTGGCGGTTTCTTTAATATTACCGGTAGCGGTTTTTTCAGAGACGTATTGCGGGATGGACGTGAATTCAAAGGCGGTATCTAGTTGTTTAATGTGCGTAATTTCGGAAGATATTACCGTATCTTTTGTGACTTCGGCGGCGTGGCCGAAGTCAGAATCCATGATAGCGGAAATCGAGTAATCCGGTTTTTTAAGTATGGACGTGATGACTGATTTTTCGGCGCCAGTGATAGCCTGGCTGTCACCACCACCGAATGTTGTTAGTGGCGTCTGGTGGTAGGTGACTGGTCCTTCGGGAATAAATTGTGTTAAGGACACCACAATGGCGTAACCCAACATCCTTTCTGGACGATGCTCCAAGAGGAAATTTTGCGTAAAACGCTCACCGGTCACCATAACCATCACGCCACCAGACGATCCGCCACAGGACATCGGAATCATCGATTTAACTACATAGTCGCACGCGGACATAGNGAATTCGCAGCCGATATCAGCCGCGTACTTACTTCTCGGCAACGAGTTTAACTTAGCCATCGCAACGGCTCTGCTCTCGCGTGTCAAATCTTCAACACCACTGCTATTTTCCATTTCGAATGCAAATACAAATAACAAGCGAATGCGAAAGAAATTGAAACTTTTAGAAATAATTAATTATTTTTTCAGTCTCGCAATAGTGCTTGTGAGTGCAATAGTGAGTAATATTATTTGGTTTGCGCGAATACTACAAAACTATTACAACACGGTTGTTGTTGATTGGTAACGAAAATATTAAGAGCAGTTTTCTTTTGTGTTTTGGCCACGTATATAAAGGGAACGTAGTCTTTTCGGCTTGAAATTACATTGAGTGATAATTTACAGGCCTTAAGATACATCTGATTTCAGGGGACATACTTTTTAATTGAATCGCTACCTTTAATAACTCCTAAACATAAAAAAAACATAATGGGGGGAGAGCTAAGAATTATGGTAACATTGTAATAACTTGCATTTATAATTATATTGTTCTATAATTATCGTGTGATTATTGTAATAACTATTATTAATCTATAAATAACAAAATATTTAATAAAGTTTGAAAATTCACTTTTTTTTTTTTTTTTTTTTTGTGAATTTGTGGAATGATCTCGACATGTCTATGCATATCCGTCAATGCAATTAACTTAAGACCTCGCGGAGGCCATCCCTTATCGCCGCCGCCTCCCGTTTGACGGGTGCAAATCGTATCGCGTCCGTTCGCGAATGCCGGCACGTCCGTGTTGAGCGGCGGTGCCGGAGGACGCGCGTTCGCCCGTGCACCGCTCGCGCATACATTTATTGTAATTACGGCGCACTGCGATACGCCTGGCGGCGCCCGCAGTTGCCGGTCGCGTACGGTTATACCGCGGTCGGCGGTCGCGGAACGGCAAACGCAATATTATCGCCGTTATTGTCGTTCACGTCGTCCCGCACGGATCCGCGCCGCTCGCTCTTCGGCGACGTATGCGTTCCGCGTTCCGGGAACTCGCGTTTACCGTCGCGTTCCCCTATTGGCTTTCCGCCACCCGACCGCGTCGCGGCCCAATAACGGTGCGGCGCTCGAGGTTATGCCCGCGAACGGTAACGGCGGAACGGCGGGGCCGCGACCGCGCGAAATAAAAGACGGTCGGACCACGACCGGCCGATTGGCTACCGGACGGCCGCGGTATTGGAACGCGCGGTCGCGAAACGGTCTGTTCCCTGTTCGTTAACGGGCGTCACGAAAACGCGGTTTCGGAGAACGCCTACTCGAACTCGAATACGGTTGAAATTTCCGAAAATCTCGAAACCGGTGTTTTCGATTTCGTGTTCGCAAACGGATATCGATATGATTATTTATTTTGATCGATTAAATTATCATTCACGACCTTTACGACGTAACGTTCAAATATGCAAAGTACCACTCGTCGCGCTGTTTAAATAACTGAAACAGCAGATTAAACAGGTAGGCACTCAATCTGACTCTCAAAATGACCGCGTTTGACAGAACAGTATCCCGATCTGATCTTCAGAGTCTGTATTTGGACTGGCATACCGCGCCGTGTTTCAGACCTTTGCATTGCTTGTTAAGGTTTCATCCGACACGCGGTGATATTGTGTCTTAAACTGGTGGTAAAATAATCAAACGAGTTATCAAGCGTCGGAGGTATTTCGGTGGGTTAACCCGTCTGCAACGACCCTGGAATCGATTCCCACATTTATAGCACACATTTTTAGCGGTTTTTTTTCCTCCGTGGCTTACCTGGCATGGTGTCGCATAACAACTCGAGGTTTATTTCCGATTAAAATTCCGACATTAGGTCACGAACGAAGAAATAAAAACGACCGAAACAATTGATAGATAACCCATTAGTTTATCGATGCGTGCATATCGTGTGGAGCATATCGTTTGAGCCACACGTTAACAAGTCTTACGCGAAGGACTTTTTTACTTGAATTTAAACGCTAGTGTAATATACCTACATAGGCCCTTTAAAACCTGTAAAAAAAAAAATGGCGTAATCTCCTGTACCTACAGACTTTTTTTATCTTTTTAAGTTTGGGGATGTTATGTACCGTTAATTGCATGTTATAACACATTGATCACATATTACGAGGTAGTTATAGTAATACTCGAGGAGATAACAAGTTACAAGACTGATATTATATTTAAAAACAAATTAAGACGGTTAAGATTTTTTTTTTCTTTCAAACTTTTTTACTACACTACCTTATGTGGGAAGTAACGCTATCTGGTATGGGAGGTATCACTATTTTGTGTAAAAGTAATCACCATGTTTGCGGAGAAAATTTCCCATTTGTATAGAAGTATACCATTCTCAAACATTCGATGGGTCCGGAACCGGGCGCAGTATATTTTACGTGAATACGCTGGGTACTCAGAGAAATTTCAAAATGCCACGGAAACGTTATGTTTTACATATGTATTCTGGCAAGTTTAAAAAAATAATATCGCGAATAATAAAAAATACACCGTAAAAATATTATTATTAGGTAACCGGAACGGAAATACGATATATAACTATCGCCGGAAGACCCGCGGATCGCAATAAACTATATAATATGTTCAGTATTGATTCCACTTTGTCCATAAGTAGTTATACCCTTGGGATGCGCTTGAAAAATAATATAATATCATATTCGTAGGCGAATGATAACTCGAATGACTTATGTTTGTTGAAAAAATATGGAATCTTTTTTTTTTTTTTTCGTCTTGTTGGATTATAATACACGTCGTGTTTTTTTCGCTGCGATACACAGTCAGAGCCCATCGCCGGACGATTATTATCCGGGATGGTTGTGTTCGTAGCGTTTTTGATGTTTTCACGTGAAAATTGCACGGTAAATATGGCCGCCAAATGCCTGGAATATAGCTGCCTAGTATATAGCTAGATCATATTTTATATAATATTATACGTGTGCGCCGCGACGTTTCCGAATCGCCGATAAATCAAGGCGAACCCTAGTGTTTTCTACGCGGAGATATAATTTGTTGACGCCCTCCTCGATTAGAGAGCTCTTGAACGTCATTTTTACTGACAAACCGACGGAAAAAAAACCCCCCAAAATAAAAACTCAATACGCTCCGAATCTAAAAAAAAAAAAACCCCCCCAAAAAAAAAACCAAAACCCCCCCAAACTAAAAAAAAAAAAAAAAAAAAAAAGACGTTATCGCCGCTATTTCAGTCGGAAATCACTTTTGCGAGCGATACAAATTGAGTATCTATTGTTAAATGTTTAAATGTGAATTTATCGGACGAGACCGAGGAGGGTCCGCGGACGGACCGACAACAATATCGAGTAATGTTCGGGAAAGTTTTTGTTTTTGACCTCCTCTCCTCGCGTCGTATACATCGCAACAGTGCAGTGGTGCTGCACACTCTACCCAATAACATAAACCAAATTGATTAGAAATTAAATGAGTTTCTCCCTTTACCCGCTGTCCCATCCGCCTCACAAACGGTTTCATCGGCGGTCGCGTAAGATAAACTTTTATGTTATTATTTTGATTACTCGCCACGACCTTATTTATAATGAATGTCGACGTTGTGAAATCTTTAAAAAAAAAAAAAAAAACTACAATATTCCACTGTATTTTATTACGTGTATACATAATTTTCCAACAGACCTTTAAAATATAGAAAAAAAAAAAAATGTTTTCGAAATTAAATTACTATGTACATATTTGTATTATTATTTTTTTTTTTTCATATTATTTTCATTATTATATTATGAACAGTAAGACGATAAAAAGTGTTTAAAAACCCTAAACGTATTTTGCGCTATAAATATTATTGTATAGTTATCGAGGGGGGGGAGGGGATTGAAAGCTTTAGGACACAGAGTGATTTGATTTACACAATAAAAACAACGATAATCATTTAAATCGAAAAACGAATCTGAACGGAATAATATTACAATAATATTACAAGTAGTGTTGTTCTCCTCCTCGTGAACTCTGAGGTAACCCAGAAATCAACAAAAATAAAATTGTTTCCATTTTATTGAAACACTGTTGGGCATATAGAAACAATTTCATTATAAATTAAATTGTCCGCATCTTTTGCGGTTTTCGGGAAAACAAAACGCACCTAAGTAAATTAATTTATTATAACTTCATCGCCGACACTCGGAATCTAAAATATAAGCATTTTTACGCGCGGTTATCGAGTGGTTTAAAATTATTTGCATGTTAATAAATTACGAAAACGCATAGCGCATAACTCAACAAAACTGTGGATTTTTCGAGCCGTTTATTTATATTCCTTTGAGACGAGAACATTTAATAAGGAGCGGTTGTAAAACATTCTTCAAAATCCCACAAGCTAAATAGTTGGCCGTCGAGCGTTCGCAAAGGTTTTCAAAAAGAGACGGATTATTATTAGTTAACTTTCGAGAACGCCACACGGATGCCGCGGCGGCGGTATACCCTACGTAAGTTTTAAAAATATTAATATTTCAACCGGAATTTTAATAATGCTACAAACCACTCCTCGGGCCCTTTGATGTCTGTTATTGAGGTATTACAAAGTCATCAGTGTAAAGTCTGTTGTATTATTTTTCCCGGTGCCGAAACGAAAACGTTGCGAAAGGGGGCAGGAGGGAAAGGAGAAGTGACGGCGAGAACAAGTGGACACCGTGGACGAGGATGGGGATGGGGGGGGAAAACACCGGCCGGTTATTGTTTAGAGCGATTTATTCCGGGGCGCAGAATTTTCATTCGCTATAGCTGCGATAGCTTTTCGCGGCCGTTTTATACCTTTGATGCTGCGCGAAAAATGATCGTATAGATTAAAACGGCGAGTTCACATAAAACAGCGGGACCGTCGAGGGGTTAATTTCTTTTTATTTACTTCGGGGTGGAAAAAAATATACCTACATAAAAATCCACTTCAACGGCTTCACCTCCGCCGTCCGGTACCCTGTATTATCTGAACGTAAAAACGAATTATTAACGGTCTACGCGGGCGCGTTTTTCGCGATAATAATTAAAATCCGGAAACTATAATGGGCTTTTTGAAGTCCGTCACAGATGCAATATTGTTATCGTTATTATTTGTTCCGTTTCGATT